GGGGGGGGGGGGGGGGGGGGGGGGGGGGAATTAGGATGGGCGCTGGTTTTAGTTTAGAAACCATTGTTCCGTATCGATAAATTGTAACTATAAAGTGACCCGAAAGGACTTCATTCCTTGTACTCCCTTTTCAAAAAGTAAACTAAATAATTAATGTATACAAATAAATGGACGGACATACTTCGCACCACGGGTGGGCTACTGTTGTAGGTGAGAAAAACGAAAAACTATTCTGAGCGGAGCTCGGTCAATAGTGTTGGTTTTTTGATAATGCGCGCTTTCACGACGACAACGACTGATTAAAAAAATGTTAAAACATTAAAATAATAAAAACTTTAGGATAACAAAAAAATAAATAGAGACGGCCAATGATAACCTTATTTTTAATCTGTTAATCTTTTAAACTAAATAATCAGTTTTTCCTCATTCTCTCGAATATTAATAAGAATTTCAAAAATGCCCTTTCTAAAGTACCAACTAGAGCCGAAATGCAATAACAGAGGGTTTTTTGTAATCTTTTGATTGAAGCGAGATTTCCAGAAGAAAAACTGTTTACAGACATGAAAAATAAAATAATACACATTAGCCTATAGTAATATCAATAGATCCCTCACTTCACTCAGAATCTAAAAGACAAAAGCAAATGTCGTACATAATTTGAATTGACAATAGTCAATATTACATAAATTTAGATATTTTTTTATCTATTTTGTATAATGTAACTAATAAATTGTAAGTTTTTATTTATTTTTTTTTTATTTAGGACGATAAACTCGTAAATATCGTTCGGAGATTATTTCTCACGGTTTAACGATACGATTCCCATTAATATTATATTACACGCAAATTGTCAATGCTATTTTTAGATTATGTTTTATAGGTTTGAAAAAAATTGTATCCGTCCTTCGGAATATTAATAAAAAATGAATCCCAAAATAAACACAATCTGTCATGTAAAATTAAAAATTATAATAGATTATCTTGCGGGGATGATTACAGATGAGTACTTAATTTAACTACTCAAATGGCAAGGAAAAGATTTTTATAATGACGGGGTTTTTTTTAAATTTTTAAAGTATACTTTTATTTTCTTTTATTATTATTTTCTTTTATTATTTTTATTTTTTTTTATTAAGAAAATTAACAATCTTATGCTACATGCACAATAAGAAAATGCGATTAAATAATTTACAAATACGTGAACACCAGAGGAGGGAGACCATCCGGTTTATAGAATCATTTACCGTTTCCCTCGGTTTAATTTAACGAACATGTTCAATTTTATAGTTTCGACATTCTTCGTTTTATTCTCTTTTTTTTTTTTAGAATGACGCGATGTATGTTATGCTTATGATATTACTGCAGTGTTAACAAACGATATACACGTATCGCACCGAAACATATTGATAGGTAGCCGATCACCGTCAGCTAGGATTACTATAATACATTTGTTTCTATGGGTATACAATCTATAATTTTGTTGAAAAACTTTACGTACGTTTTTCAGTATTAATTACAATTAAAAACTCGGAATTCACATTGTTAATTCGCATCATATTGCCGCTGAGTAAAGCCATAAATTCGGTATCCGGTTATTTCGAAGAACTTTTACAGCGAACGACCTCTTGTTCATATTTATTGAACGAGAAATGACGAGAAGAATATGATCGAAGTTGTGCTGAAAAATGCATAAATACGGGTGTAAATTCTATTCGAATATAAATTTAAAAAATTAAATTCTCTATATTAATTACCGTCAAACAAATTAATTTTTTTTAGATTTTTAAGTAGTATTCGCCAAATATTATCCTTTCGCCGAGACATCTTAGCATTCACGAGATCAATAATAATACCAAGACCAATAATATAAAAACCAACGGATACTTATTATGCATCCACTTGAGATCGTCTCGAGAGAAAACTCGGATTCGTTTCACTGCAAATTTGCAAATCACTGCAAGTCGACGATAGTAGTTACGACAGTGTAATAATTATTATTTTGAATCGCTTAATGGAATTTGCTTCTTTTTTTTTTCCAAACGAAATCTATTTCGAATATCAAATTGATTATTATTCTTATCGTTTATTTTCTTTTTTAAACTCTTGTTGTGATTCCCGTCGGTTCGGTCGTGTTTTTCTAATTATTCATTTATTGTTCTCGTTCGCCTCGACGCGTTTCCTTATAGACATCGATTATAAGAAGTTAAACCAATATCCGTACACAAAAAAATGCTTATATATTCTATACGTCTTTTTATTATTATTATTATTATTATTATTATTATTGTCATCATCATCATCGTCCGCCCGCGGAGGAGATGGAGTGGTGTGCTGTACATGGGTCTTTTGTACAGAGCGTGCGACCCGTCGATAATAAAGTCTGCGCCGGAATGCGAAGTCGTTCTCTATTATATACCTATACGCGAATAGCTCGCCGTCGTTTCTATACAAAACTTTAAACGAATAAAGTTCGCGAGCCGTTTACATTTTCTCGGCGAAAAAATATAATGCAATCCGTATGGGCACGCGTACATTCCGCTTTGGATACACGGAGTCGCGTATACACGCCGCGTCCCGAGAAAAAAATGTGATTTTTACACGTCGGCGCATCGGAGCGCAATCGTGAACGAAGACATCCGATCGCATATTTGAATCGGTTAAACGCGACGGTAAATAATATTAATTTGACGATACCGTTCAAGAGGGACGGGACGGGCACACCGGCACATGCGATTGCGTGCTGCAGTGGCCGCGTGGATTTCTTTCTTTTCATTTCGTCCACGGAGAGGTCGCGGCAAATAATAATAATGATAAACCTCCTGTGCAACCCACGCCTAGCAGTTCTGTGACCGAGGCTACCGGACGTTTCCCGTACGTGGCCGTTTTCGCGGAGAGGGCGCTAACGTTTGTCGCCACTGTCCGCCTAACGGGGCGATGTAAAACGCGGTTAAGTACTCGGGATCTAGTGCGAAAATTGTCTCGCCGAATTAAAGGCGACAACATTTACGACGCTATACCCGGGAATTATCGCGATATCCATTTTCCGTCGGACAGACCGAAACGGCAACGGTTACTGTGACGCCCTCTTAACATATTTGCATATCTAACGATACAATACTAGACGCACACTCGCCCGCTCAACTAATTTGGCCGCGAAACGGCTGTTTCGTAGGGTACCCTATTCGCGCCGCTATTAACAGCTGCTAATTAACATCGGCGCCGACTGTTATTGGTCTTCATACCGAAACAAATTTACCGACAAACGGACTTGGACATGTCCGTGCGACTCTACGTCGGTTTTAATTTTCAAGCGACATAACGCGCGTACAACTGCAGTTGCCTAGATAACATACTCACTTTCAACTAGTTTGATAATACGGTCAATCCGCGCTCTAATGTAATAAGACCAAAAACACTGCGGAGCTGTTGCCGCTGAACGTGAACGCGGTGCTTTTATGTGCTGCGCATGATCAGTCGACATTAGGTGATTTCGAAATAATTATTCGATAAACAGAGCATATAAACGAGGAGAATTATTACTCGAACGTCGCGTGCGTCGTCGCCGTCACCGCGTTCAAAACTATATTGTCGTTTCCTGTCTCGCGCTCGTGTTGATAAGTAGCGTCACAATGTGGCGTCCGCCGTCTTTGCGATTTTTCGAACGGAAACAAATGCGTTCGCGCAACACAAATGGAAATGCTGATTAAATCGCGGCTGTTGAATAAAACGCCCGTTTATAAAACCGCGTAGGTGACGACGGTTCGGAGACAACTTCGTTGCGGCGCGTCTACGGAAAAATCAATTCAACGAAACGCAAAAGCCGTGGTAAATGCCTTTTTTTAGTTTGGCTTGCGTGAACGAGCGGCCGCGGCGAGCCAGGGACGGCGGCGCGAACGTCATCGCCGTGACGCCGTCTTCAAAGTTAAGACCCGGAACTCTCGGCGCTTATACGAACGAAATGAACACGTGTTCCGAACACGGTGTACGCATGTCACTAATCGTTCGTCTTTTGTTCAAAAACACGACGATCGTTTTCGATCGCGATCTTATGCCGACGGGATTTCGTTGCGGCCGAGACCGCGTCGCCGCCGCCGTCATTGTCGACGAGTGTGGGCGCGAACGGGCGCGCGGTTGTCGACAAATTAGGGTTTTTTTTAATTGATTTAACCGCACGCCAGCGTATATACCACCGCTCTAAAAGCATACGCGTACAGCGAGACCTTGGGCCGTTATCATCCTCAGCGTGCGGTATACACGAGATAATCGAAAGGCCATGTCGGCCGGCACAGCGTGCGATAACGACCTCCCACCGTCCGGTATTTTTATTTTTATTTGTTTTTTTTTTTTCCCGTTCGGTTTTTCTTCCGTACGTATATGCTATGCGTACGCGTCGCGCCGCACTCATAGTGGCACCGCCATAATAGCCGGACGACCGCGACGGACGGCGATATCAACGCGATACCGCGGTAGTGGTATCCGTAGAGCGTACAGCGTACGAGCAGTTTCGGACCGTGCGCGCGTTTTTTTTCCCGGGCGCCGTCGTTACCGCGACCCGTCGACGATGGACCCGCCGACGGGCGGCGGCGGAGGATTCCTGTCCAACCGGAGGATCAAGCTGACCGCGGTGTTCCCGATGATCGTGGGCACCCGGCGCACCATCTCCAAGTCGGACTCGTCTTCGTTAGCCAAGTCCGGCACGAAAACCGGGAACCGCAAGTCGACCGGTTTCGCCGGCACGCCGGGCGCTACCACTCCAACGGTCGAACGTCCCGCGCACCCGCTGTCGTCCAGGAACAGGATGAGACGGGGTTCGAGTCTGACGGACCTGAGCAGATCCGACTCGTTAGCAGGTACGGCGAGCAAGGATACTTACACCCCCCCCCCCCCCTCGGTATTCCCGTAGAGTTTAGCGATGAGCCCGGTATGACGGTTTTCCGACGGTCTCGATATCGGCTGATACGCGTTATAAGATACCCGTGCTCACCGCTAAATATTATAACACACGGTCACGTATTGTACGGGGTGGGCGTAGGGAATTTCTCGAGACGGCTTGTGGGCGGCGTGCGGGCGCGGATGGAAACGCCGGTGTCCTCGGAGACCCCGCAGGCCGAACCGCACCGGATGCAACTTGGCCCGGTCTCAAAACTTTGTTAGCTCCCGAACAACATTTGGACGCGTCGCGAAGCTGTGCGTACACCCGCCAATTTCCATAAAACCGCGGCTTTCCGGACCAATCACTCTCTCAACGGCGGCGCACGGCTCCGCTGTTCCAGCAGATAATACCCGAACTACGCTTCCCGCCCGTTACGACACGTTAATCATTAACCGCGGGTGCACTTAGAGACGATATTGACTTGGCGGGTTCGACTACTGTACAGGCACCGCGGTAACACCGTTATCGTCGGTCATATAATATTACGTATTTGACTAACGTGCCGGCTGTCGTCGTTCACGGTCGGTCTGTCGTCGGATCGGCCCCGGGGTACGGCTTTATTCGCGCGTACGCGACGATAAACCGTTCCGAACGATTCTGAGCGATGTACGGTCGGACGCGGTTCGATACGTCCCGTATCGAACACGCTGTATTAGTTGCAGATAGGCGCACAGTTCTTCATACACAATTACGAAATAAATAACGATTGTTTTTCGTAAATTTTCACGATTATTCCAGCTGAAAAAACAGAATTTAAAACGCTAATCACATATAATAAACAGGAAACAACGAAATCTAACATAATTCTTTTGCTTCGTGAAGCATACCTTAAATGTCAATTGCGCCGCTCATGGTATACTCCCTTTCTCCGTCTTCCAAACTTGTCTTTCTTAGCTGACCGTCGCCGTTCTCATAATCTTATTTTTCTTAATAAGCTTTTATCTGGCTCTGTTTACTCCCCTTCGCTTCTTGAACTAATTAAACTTTAAAGTTCTTGTTAGGTAGACCCGTCACTCACGTACGATTTCTGTTCAACTTTGCCCTACTAATTATTTAAAAAACCTAGGTAATTAACTGTATGATGAAGTTAGCCAATGAGGTTCCGTAATTTCTTCCATAAAGTTATGTTACCGTATTATCTTATTTTTGTTTTTTTTTTTTTGATCTCCCCAAATCAAAGCTGGGTACTAATTAGTTAGGAAGCTAAAGACAAGTTAGAAAGTTACTTTTAATGTAACTTAATAACTTTACTAGTTGGTTTTAATTCATAATAACGTTCTAACTTTACTTGTTATATTTAATGCATTGAATCCGTTATTTTGTAAACATGTAACAAATAGAAGAAAAACTAACACACATTTTTTCACCTAATTTAAAACATTATTGTGTGATAATATAATTTACATTTCTTATCATATTCAATTTTTTGTAATACACGAATTAAACCATATACTATTTAGGTGGTTTATGGTTTTATATGGTTCGCAAACAAGATGAGTTATAAAGCCGTCTTAGATGTCTGTGGTGTCATCACAGATTAATTAAATTATTACAAATCTGCAATAATATTTTGATTTTTAACTGTGCATCTGCGCCTTGTTTATTCATATGACTCGTGTAAACGTGTAACGTTGTATGAGTGATGCGTCGAATATGTCCACCCACAAATATGCACAATATATTATTATTAATTGTATTACGTTGTTCCTATTGATCATAAATTATTTCATATTTGCAATAAATTAAGGCTAATATTTTAAACACTGAAAGTTAGGTTATTTGAGGGGGGGGGGAGGAATTTAATCAAATTATAAATTCATTCCAATTGATATATTGTCACCAATAATTTAGTTTCTGATTTTGAAATTAAAAAAATAAAATTTACATTTAACTTTTATTATGACTTAAGTTACTTATTCTCACTAACTAACGTCTAACTGATTTAGAATTTTTAGGAAATCGTTTAGAAACTAAATTCTATTCTAACACGATTAGTTTTTATATTAAAGTAATTTGACTTTAACTAGTTGTACGTAATGACTAATTTGCCCAGCTTTGTCCTTTTTCCAAAACGTTAAAAAAACGATTTTTTTTTTTTATTGGAGGGACATTTCTTGTAGAAAGAGACACACTCATACACATAAAAACGCACACAATAATATTATGGTAAACCAATATATCCTTCGCTACGTTAAAAATCTAAACTAAATATTTGAAAAAACCGCAGATATCATAGTGACACCAACACATTTCTCATTACGCTCAGAGCCTAAAATATATAGTCTCCGGGCCGATTTCCGTTGTTTGTTCATGGCGAACAGTCTAACGTAAGACACGCATTGTCCCAGAAAGCATTACCTTTTTTCGGAATTCGTTATACGGCGGCAATTAATGAAACAATCAGCTCTTAAATAAACGGTTCTTTTGTTATCCTCATTTTTCTGGTGCGGTGAAACCACTGTATCTACTTTTTGATGGAAAATCCTATAAATATACGGAACTTTGGTTTAAATATATTTCTGTGTTGACGTTTTTGATTTTCGTTAACCCGTTGACAAGATATTCTCGTACATTTAATTGAAAATATTGTACAATTCTTATGTAAATATTAAAGAAAATATTTATGGATTTTTAAAATCCTACGAATTATAATTAACACTGCGTTAGGTATAAATCAAAATTCTATTCGAAAAAATGTTAAACGAGTTCGTTAGTTAAATATGAATATTATTCGCAATTACGATAAACTCACGAGTTATTTATTTTATATTTTCTAATTATTAATATTCAAATCGTTTTTTCTTAATCAAATATCTAATTTTTTTTTTTTATATAAACTTTTTATTTCAATAAATTAAACGAGTCCGTGATAAACGTTTCGATTATACGGTTACCCGTCGCTGTAATGTTGTTTTTATCAAAACCAATGCTAACCAAAGTGTTAATTATTATAATAAATGATGCTCCCCGTTGTTTTTCCCCTGTCTGCGAAACGACAAACTAAACAGCGGAATACGCCGAAACGTGTTCGAACCAAAACTTCAACAGTAAAGCTGATAAAAGAACGCCCCCCTCTCCCCCCGGTAATTCTAGAGCTGCTCGTTTCTAAAAATTTTCAGGTAAAAAAAAAATTTCTAAAAAAAACGTTTCCTTTCGGGCGAACGTATTGACCACGTATGACCACGTACGATTACGTATTGTGCGCGAAATAATCATGCGCGGTCGAGACATTTTGTTCACGTTTACAATAGTAACTAAACATTTGGCGGCCGCAACAGAAGTCGGGTCGTAATATTTCCGTCGTTTCTTCCGCCGCCGCCGCGCCGCTTACAATAAAAAAAATGTACAGATGATTTGCAATCGTCCGTCGCGTTGCACCCACTACTGTCGAAAAGGAGTCACGGGTGTTTTAATAACGCGCGGGCTAGCGCCATCGGTACGACATTTGATAAAAAGGTCGACGGCGATTTCTCCCGTCCGGATGATTTCCCGTCTATTAAAAAAAAAAAAAAAAAAAATTATTTTTCCTTTTGTCCGTGGCGAATCACTATACTCGTGCCGTACGGCACCTATTTGCTCTCGACCCGAACTGTTGATAATTACATAGGCGGCGGGGCTTTGCGAGTATATTTTTGTTACGGCTCAATTAAACTGTTCCGGTGTAACAATTTCGGTTTGCACGGGATACCGCGGGCGGGCAGGGGCTTTCGGTGTTACCGTTTTCTATAATCGCGCCGGGAATCACCGTGAACATTCCCTGACCCGACCTAACCGCCCCCGGGTCCTAGACACTATTATACGGGTACGTCCTAATTATCAGAAACGCCTTTGCGGCCACCTCGTATGATACACTGAGACGATCAGGTCCCGAGAAAAAAAAACATTCGTATATAATAGATTATTGTGATGACGATGATGCGTGTAT